CTTTTACTAAAAATTCAGTAAGAGAGAAAACTGCCAAGCTAATTTATGAAGCCAGCATTAATTCCTAATTCCAAAATCAGATAAAGATACTACAAAAAATCATAGGCCAATATCCCTGATGAACATAGATGCTAAAATCCTCAACAAAATATTAGCAAATGGAATCCAGAATTACATTAAAAAGATCATACACAATGATGAAGTGGGATTTATCCCTGGGATGCAAAGTTGGTACAATATACACAAATCAATTAACATGATATAAACACATAAACAAAGTGAAGGATGAAAATCATATGATCATATCAATAGACGTAGAAAAAGCATTTGAGAAAATCTAGCACACATTTTATGATAAAAATTATCAGCAAAGTGGGAATATATGAAATGTAACAACATAATAAAGGTGACATGTGACAAACACACAGTAAACATCATATTCAATGAGCAAAACATAAAAGTGTTTCCTTTAATATCAAAAACAAGAGAGGAATGCCTGCTTTCACCACTTTTATTCAACATAGTACTGAAAGCTGTAGTCACAGCAATCAGACAAAAAGAAGAAATAAAAGGCATCCATATTGGAAGTAAAACTTTCATTATTTGCAGATGACATGATGCTCTATATAAAGAACTCTAAAGATTCCACCATAAAAACTACTGGACCTGATAAATGTATTCAATAAAGTAGCAGGATACAAAATAAATATCCAGAAATCAGTTGCATTTTTATATACCAACTAGAGGCCTGGTGCATGAAATCCATGCATGGGGGATGTCCTCAGCCCGGCCTGCACCCTCTCCAATCTGGGACCCCTCAGGGGTTGTCAGGGATCAGGCCTAAACCAGCAGTTGGACATCCCTCTTGCAATCTGGGACTGCTGGCTCTTAACTGCTCACCTGCCTGACTGCCTGATCACCCCTAACCACTCTGCAAGCCTTCCTGATGCCCCTAACTGCTCCCCTGCCAGCCTGATAGCCCCTAACCACCTCTGCCTGTTGACCTGATCCCCCTAACTGCTCTCCCCTGCTGGCCTGATCCCCCTAACTGCCAGCCTGATCCCCCTAACTGCTCTCCCCTGCTGGCCTGATCCCCCTAACTGCCAGCCTGATCTCCCTAACTGCTCTCCCCTGTTGGCCTGATTGCAACTAAATGCCTCTGCCTCGGCCCCACCACTGTAGCTTTGTCTGGAAGGACATCCGGAAGGTCGTCTGGAAGATGTCCAGTCTAATTAGCATATTACCCTTTTATTAGTATAGATAATGAAATATCAAAAAGGGAAACTAAGAAAATAATCCCATTTACAATTGCATAAATATTACCTAGGAATAAATTTAATGAGGGAGATAAAAGACCTGTAATCAGAAAATTATAAGACACTTAAGAAAGCAATTGACTAGGCTGGTGTGGTTCAGTGGTTGAGAGTCGACCCAGGAACCAATAAGTCACTGAGGATGATTCCCGGTGAAGGCACATGCCTGAGTTGCGAGCTCCATCCCCAGCATGGGGCATACAGGAGGCAACCAATCCATGATGTTTCTCTCTCATCAATGTTTCTATCTCTCTCTCCTTCTCCCTTCTGCTCTCTCTAAAAATCAATAAAAGCATATTTTAAAAAAGAAAGCCATTTAAGAAGCTAAAAATATGTGGAAGCATATACCACGTTATAAAGAATTAACATTATTAACATGTCCATACTATACAAAGCAATCTATAGATTCAATGCAATTCCTATCAAGATACCAATGGCATATTTCACAGAACTAGAATAATGATACACCTGATGAGGAGTTATATTCAAAATTTAAAAGAACACATACAATTCAACACCAACAAAACCCCCACAAACTAGCTCTATATATAATGGAGGAATATGCAAATTTGTCCAGGATGCCATCATGTCATGCCCTTTCACAGGGTGGAGTGGCTGCAGGGCTGCTGGGAAGCAATCCAGGTCTAAGAGTGATTTTGTGCCACCCAGGCAGACTCCCCCATGGCCCGCAGCTGAATCCCGATGCTGACCTGGGGTTTACTAAACTTTACTGGAGCTGCTCCCCACACCTCCACCCCTTGCCCCAGGACCATGCTACCGCAGCAGGGCACCCCAGCAGTGTCCTGACAGGCAGGTGGCCTGGGAGAGCCAAGTGGAGCGGGGGCTTCAGGGAGCCACAGCCGGGGGGTCCGCAGGCGGACAGACAGGCCTCCGCCTGAGGGGTGGCTCCCAGGTGAGAGCCCCCGCTTTGGCAAAGAAGCTGGCCAGGAGGCGGGTGTCCTAAGGGGTGCAGAGTGGTGCTGAGGTGGGGTGCACAGGAGGGGGCTCAGGCCAGGGCAGGGGGCCGGCGGGCGGTGATCTGCCTCGCCCATGGACAGAGAGGTTCTGCAGTGGCCCCAAGACATGGGAAACAAGAGCTGATGACTGCTGGATTGGAAGGATGCCCAGGTGGAGGGGCACGGACCCTCAGCCCTGAGGCAGGGGTTGAGGGGTGGCACCACATCAGTGGAGGGGCGCTGCACTGCAGTGGTTTGGCGAAGCTCCCAGCACTAACCGGGCCTCCCCGCCAACAACCCCTCTCTTCTGAGATCTGTCAGTCTGTCCCATGCATCCATGCCTCTGGACCTATTTTGTTTGTCAGTTATTTTGTTCATTCGATTCCATATATAAGTAAGATCATGTGATACTTGTTTTTCTCTGATTGGCTTATTTCCCTTAACATAATAATCTCTTTCTTCCCTTGCCTTTTAGGTCAAATTCATAAAATCTGCTCTGAGACCAAGGTATATAAGTTTAGTAATTATGTTTTCTTCTATGTAATTTATTGTTTCAGATATTATATTCAGGGTTTCAATCCATTTTGAGCATTTTGAGTTAATTTTTGTATGTGGGGACACACTGTAATCTAGTTTTGTTCGTTTCCATGTGGCTTTCCAATTTTCCCAGCATCATTTATGAAAGAGGCTTTCTTTTCTCCATTATAGGTTTTAGGCTCCTGGTATAGCCACTGTGGAAAAGAGTATGGATGGAGGTTCCTAAAACAGTTAAGAATAGAGTCATCATGTGACCCAGCAACCCATCCTCTGGGTATCAACTTGAAAAATTTAAAAACATTTTCCCAAAGACATACACATCCTTATGTTCATTGCAGCATTATTTTCAATGGCCAAAATATTTTTAAAATACTGAAGTGTCCTTTGATAGATGATTGCATAAAGAAGATTTGGTACATATGTACAAGGGAATACTACTCAGCCATAAGAAAAGATGAAATACTACCATTTGTCACAACATGTATGGACCTTGAAAATATGCTAAAAAAAAATAAGTCAGACAGAAAAAGTTAAGGACCATATGATTTCACTTATATGTGGGATTTAAAACGTAAAGCAACAAATGAACAAAAAAGAAATAAAAAAGTACAAAACCTCAGACACAAACAACAGTATGGTAGCTACCAGAGAGAAGGGAGTGGGGATTAGAACCAATAATGGGGGTCAAATAGATGTTGACAAAAGATGATTTGGTTTTGAGTGGTGGGCATATAATACAATATACAGAACATGTATCATAGAAACATATACTTGAAACCTATGTAATCTTATTAAACAACTAGAGGCCCAGTGCATGAAATTCATGCATAGGGGGGGTGTCCCTCAGCCCAGCCTGCACCCTCTCCAATCCGGGATTGGGCCTAAACCAGCAGTTGGACGTTCCTTCTCACAATCCAGGACTGCTGGCTCCCAACCGCTCACCTGCCTGATTGCCCCTAACTGCTTCTGCCTGCCAGCCTGATTGACGCCTAACTGCTCCCCTGCCATCCCAATCACCCCCAACTGCCCTCCCTTGCCAGCCCAGTCACCCCCAACTGCCCTTCCTCCCCTACAGGCCTGGTTGTCCCCAACTGCCTTCCCCTGTAGGCCCGGTCACCCCCAACTGCCCTCCCCTGCCAGCCATCTTGTGGTGGCCATCTTTTGACCACATGGGGGTGGCCATCTTGTGTGAGGGTGTGGCAGTCAATTTGCATATTACCTCTTTATGATATAGGATATCAACCAATAAAATTAATAAAATGAAGAATGGCTAAAATTTTCTATATCTAAATTTGAATTTCCTATGGGAAAATGAAATTGATTTATTATAGAGAGAGTGGAAGGGAGGGGGAGAGACAGTGAGAAACATCGATGTGAGAAAGAGACTCATTGATTGGTTGCCTCTGGTACATGCCCTGAGAGGGCCTGAGCCTGCAACCGAGGTATCTGCCCTTGACCAGAATTGAACCCGAGACCCTTTAGTCTGCAGGCTGATAATCTATTCACTTAGCCAAACCAGCTAGGGCTGGAATTGATTTTTAATTTGTTTCTTAGCAAGGTAAAGAGCTTTGACAGCAATTGTTTTTTATACTGACCAACTAATGTCTCCTTGTTAAACTGTTTAATTGGAAATAATTTCAAATGTACAGAAACATTACAAAAATAAAACTATTTCAAAGAACACCCATATATCCTTTACCCAGATTCATCTACTGTTAATATTTTCTACCCTTTGCTCTCTTTCTTGATAGATAACTAAAATTTTCCTGAACTATTTGAGGATAGGTTGCATTAGTCATAATCCTTTAATTGTAAATGCTTCTTCATGCATTTCCTAAGAGTAGGGATATTCTCTTACATAATCACAGATTCATGCCTTTTTTTAAAAAAAATATGTTTTTGTTGAGTTTCTTTTTTTGTTTGTTTTTTGTTTCTTTTTTTGTTTTGTTTTGTTTTTTTTAGAGAGAAGAAGGGAGATGGAGGGAGAGATAGAAACATTGATGCATCACCATCCATAGGCTGTCTCCTGCATGCCCCCTGCTGGGGATTGAGCCTGCAACCAGGGCATGTGCCCTGACCTGGAATGGAACCAGTGATCTCCTGGTGCATGGGTCTGTGCTCAACCACTGAGCAACACTAGCTAGGCACATCCTCAGGCCTTTTAACTGAACTTGAACAATAGGAAACAGCTTACCATCAGTAGTTTCATCATCTCCAAAATGCTGTCTGTAGAAGAGCATCAGTTCAATATTGTAGCATTTGTAGATGATCACGAACAGTACAAAGAGAAGGAGGATTGCTCCTACACCTCCTGCAAGCTCAATTTTGTAGATTAAATCTGGAAGAAACATAATAAACAGAAAAAGGTAATGAAATCACTAATGCTTGAGATCATGTCATAAATCTGGTCTGTAAAATACTAGTATACAACACATTCTCTTTCTCTTTCCAGAAGACTTTTGTTTAATGTAGTAAGTAGCTTTGTTTTTATTACATTTGTGTAAATCAAATATTTGTAAAATTTACTCTCTTCTAAAGATTGGAGTAAGTTTACTCTTGAAAGTGATAAGTCTATATGCAAAGGAGTAATCACTCCCCATTTGCTTTGAACACGGGTAAATCTCACATATATACTGTTGATTTAGTTGTGTTTCAGGAAACTATTAGAGCTGCCTTTTTTTCTGGGTCCAGGGCCAAGATTTTGTCTTTTCTGTTAAATTCTATTACTGGCTTAGAAAGATTAAAATCTAGTACTTTTCAGGCCACAAACCCCATTCTCCTATAGAACAGCATCATAAAATTATTTACAGAATCAAATAAAATCTAACAAGCTTGCAGGATTTAACTGTTTAATTTAAGCCTATGAGAACATAATTCAATAGAAGGTAAGCAGGGGAATTAGCTTATCCATTTCCCCTACTTATTTGAATAAGTGGCTATAATATATATGTGATATAATATGCCCAGAGACGCTAAAAGAGAATGATAATGAAATATCCAGGTTAATAACTTAGCCTATTCAGCTAACACCAGGCTACCTGATAGCAGCTTCAGGCTGCTGCAGTGGGGCACTCCTGCACCTCTTGGAGTTCCAACAATTAAACCAAAGCTGTAATGTAAGGACACATAATGTACACCAGGCTCAGGGAAAATGACTTACCTATAACTTAATTCGTGATATTAAGAAACCTAGGGTATATCACACAAAAAGAGTAAAGTATCATGAAATTAAGAGAAATGGGAAGTCAGAGGAGAATTCAGAATGTGAATTCAGCAATGTCCAGACTAGAAATACTGAATCTGAAAGACACCAGACTATATACATATTTTCCACTGTGAGACAGGGACATTCATTGGTCTCAATATAATATAGATAAAATCGACTAAAAATTACCTAATCTCCCCTTAATCTAATTGCATAATTACTAAGTGACACTTTCATTACTAATTCAGTTTACCATATAGCTATGAACTAGAAAAGGGAGTGGCATTCTAGTTTATACATCAGTTGCTTATGAGTTTGGTTGGCATCAATCAGTCTCCCTGGATGGATCAATTCTGAGAAACTTTTAAAATAAAATTTATGACCATGACTGACTGCCACTTTTTAAGGTTTCTTGACAACTATATCATCAACCTTCCCTGGGAATGTCGCTTGTTTCTATAAAGACTTATTTAAGAGCAATTAGAAGCATCAAACAGACCATCCAACCTCAGACGGAAGGCAAGTGTGTGTGTGTGTGTGTGTGTGAGAGAGAGAGAGAGAGAGAGAGAGAGAGAGAGAGAGAGCACGTGAGAAATCAACCAAAAGAGGTGTATGCATGCATATAAGCATAACCCATGGACACAGAGAGTAGGGGAGTGAGAGCATATGTGTATGTGTGTGTGTGTGTGTGTGTGTGTGTGTGTGTGTGTGTGTGAATGACCAGGGAGGGGTCAATGGGGGAAAAGGGAGACATATGTAATACTTTAAATAATAAAGAATTTTTAAAAAGAGAGAAATTAGTCATGCTCAATATAACCATTTAGATTAAGATTCAGAAGAAAAAATATAAACATACAGTATACAATATAAGTAATGTGTATTATAGATTTAAAATATTTTCAACTACTGTATTCTTTTTTTTTAAAATATATTTTATTGAATTTTTACAGAGAGGAAGGGAGAGAGATAGAGAGCTAGAAACATCAATGAGAGAGAAACATCGATCAGCCGCCTCCTGCACATCTCCCACTGGGGATGTGCCCACAACCAAGGTACATGCCCTTGACCGGAATCGAACCTGGGACCCTTCAGTCCGCAGGCCGACGCTCTATCCACTAAGCCAAACCGGTTTCGGCAACTACTACTGTATTCTTTAAGTAAACCTTGAGGGTAAGAAGTATTGGTCCAAATTTATAGGTGAAGAATCTGAAACTCAGTAGTTTAATTCACTTACCCAAATCATACACTTAAGAAGTGACCAAGATGGGACTTGAGCCAGATATGCTAAGTTCAAATTCAAGTCTTTTTGGCTTACACTACAGCTTTACAAGCTCCATCCTAGAAAGTGACATTGAAATTCTTCTCCCTGTTCCTCCATATTGTTAATGTTTCTTGAGAACACATGACTTACAGTAAATATATTATGCATTTTTAAAATATATTTGTATTGATTTCAAAGAGGAAGGGAAAGGGAGAGAGAGGTAGAAACATCAATGATGAGTGAGAATCACTGGTTGGCTGCCTCCGGCACAACCCATACTGGGAATCAAGGACACAACCAGGGCATGTGCCCTTAACGGGAATCCAACCTGGGACCCTTTAGTCCACAGGGCAATGCTCTATCCACTGTGCAAAACCAGCTAGGGCTATATTATGCATTATTTTTAAAAATATATATTTTATTGATTTTTTACAGAGAGGAAGGGAGAGAGATAGAGAGCCAGAAACATCGATGAGAGATAAACATGGATCAGCTGCCTCCTGCACACCCCCCACTGGGGATGTGCCCACAACCAAGGTACATGCCCTTGACCGGAATCGAAACTGGGACCCCTCAGTCCGCAGGCCGACGCTCTATCCACTGAGCCAAACCGGCCAGGGCTATATTATGCATTCTTAACAGCCAGTGTTAAATTGACAGAGCAATGGGATTCTTTTTTGTTACTGTTACTCTAAAAACTGACTTATCTTTGATCTTAGGACTTTGATTGACTTTATTCAAAATGTTTTCCTGCTACAAATTGTTCATTTTATTTTTTAAAAATTTTGGGCTCTCTCTCTCTCTCTCTCTCTCTCTCTCTCTCTCATCTCTTTCATCAGACAGCTTTCAATTGTTTTTAATCACTGAATGAGAAATTTTCAGAAATTTCTACGTTATTTACAGAATAAAGTTACTATTGGTAGATGGAAAACTTTAGCAGCAGGAATAATTTGTGCTCCCAAGTAGAGACACCTTTTTCAGCAGTAAATTTATGTAAGAAAAATGTGTAAAAAGTACCTTTGTGGTTTTGGGGTCCATTTTACAAAAATGTTTTTTAATATTTTATTGATTTTTTACAGAGAGGAAGGGAGAGGGATAGAGAGTTAGAAACATCGATGAGAGAGAAACATCGATTAGCTGCCTCCTGCACACTCCCCACTGGGTATGTGCCCACAACCAAGGTATATACCCTTGACTGGAATCAAACCTGGGACCCTTGAGTCCGCAGGCCGACGCTCTATCCATTGAGCCAAACCGGTTAGGGCACAAAAATGTTTTTTAAATATATTACCTAATGATGGCTGTTTATGTTGAAAACTGTGGATTTAGTTCCTGAGACTCAACCAGTATTCTTTGATTCAGCCCAGGCAGTCACATTAAAAAGAAAACATGTATCCTATAATCAGAAGGCAGAAGTGCCATCACCCAGATGACATCTGGCTTTTATTTTGTCTTCTGTTTTCAACTTCCATTTTCCATCTCAGAAGGGTCTATACTTCTAGGGATATTTCCTGACTGAGAAAGTGAAAGACATTTTATTTGCACTGTGTCTTGTACACACTTCACAAAAATAACTATAGCCAGAAAAGCAAATATTTATGGGATTGTAACTCTTTCTAGACATATAAAGTACAATTGTAGTTCTTTTTAATCTTCTTAGTTTGAATTCAACTATTTTTTTAATTTGATCATAAAGATCAGACATTATAGACTGAGACAAATAGCAGATGAAGCCAAGGGACTGGAGAGAGGGAAGGTTAGAAATATTTTGAGCTTGCTCATAAATTGGGAATCAGATTAGGATATTCCACCTGAGGGTTTCTTAGATCGGTTGGGATTTCAAACTGGAACAGTAGCACTGGGAATGAAGAGAGAGAGAGAGAGTGGCTAAAGAGAGGGTGAGAAATATTCTCTGTTCAGTGATATGCTTAACTTTTTGGAAAGAGTGTATGCACAGAGAAGGAATAATTATCATAATTTCTTTAGCATCAGTTCAGAGTCTTTGTTCAATCCCCCCCCCAAAAAAAATATTATGACCATCTTACTGAAATGTTAGTTCTACCTATTGTCAAATAGTTTATCAGAGAGTGATGAAGTGGTAGTATACGTAGAAGATGCATAGGTAAAACCTCTTGCTTGGAGATAGCCTGACCTTGTTAACTGGATATATTAGACATGAGTTTTTATTTTAGGAAAGGCCTTTTCAGTTTATGAAAGATTCATCAAATGCTTCTTCTTCATAGTGATCACTTAGGGTATTTTTATATTTGACTCATAGCTCATTAGCAAGTTATTCTAGCAAGTCATATTCTAGGTGGAAAAACTACAGCCACTGAGGCTAGGCTATGATGTGAGAAACCCTGTATTCATCTCCAAAGGAAATATCTGAAGTTTTACAAGACCAGCCAGATCTTTGTCTGATTTAAAATATTGGAGGCCAGTTGGCATGGCTCAGTGGTTGAGCATCAACCTATGATCCAGAAGGTCATAGTTCTATTCCCGGTCAGGGCACATGCCTAGGTTGTGGGCTGCAGATCAGGTGTGGGGCATGCAGGAGATAGCTGATCAATGATTCTCTCTTATCATCTATGTTTCTATCTCTCTCTCCCTCTCCCTTTATCTCTGAAATCAACACAAATATTTTCTAAAAAATGTTTGTGCATAGCCATAGTGGTTTGGTTTGTTTGTTTGTTTGTTTTCTGGAGCTCCTCCATATTGTAGTGAGCCCCTAAGTTGAATGGAGTAAGGGAAGATGAACTTTATCTTTCTACAAAGCACAGTGAAAAAAATTTAACTGCTACCTAGAACAGAGTGAAAACTGGTATGCTGTGAGTAAAAAATAAGTTTTTGATTTATATAATGTTTCAGAAAG